AAGTCGGGAGAGCCAGCCGGTGCCCACTGCCTGGGAAGTCGGGAAAGCCAGCCGGTGCCCACTGCCTGGGAAGTCGGGAGAGCCAGCCGGTGCCCCCTGCCTGGGAAATCGGGAGAGCCAGCCGGTGCCCACTGCCTGAGGAGAGGGCGTGTTCTATTGGCTGTAGCGGTGGCCTGTGTTGGTGTGGGAAGAGTTAGGCTCTGGAAAGGAGGGAGAACAGTTTGCAATAGGAAACAGCTCTTTCAGTGGTTGAGTCAGAGAGAAGGTATGGAAGAGATCATGCAAGGCAGCTTGGGTCCCCGAGAGCAGGGAGAGGAGACCGAGACCGAGTTCTAATGAGGTCTTCAGGGAGGAATGGGATGCAGCCTGATCTATCTTAGCTAAAATCCCCCGGGCAGCTGGCTCCAGCCAGTGTCCCAGGGCGGAGAGCCTGGGAGTTGAGCTCTGGATGAGGCTGGAGGCAACGGGTGTTGTTAAGGAAGGAGGAAGGGAGCCATGTTAGGCTCATGGTTAGATGGATTTATTTTCTGGGGACATAGCCTTCATTCACGCTTCCGCAGGTGGATGTAGATGATGCCACTGACCAGGGCGAGTGGGAAAGCCACCCAGGCCAGGGCGAAGCAGTAACCGAAGCTACCGCCAGGTGGGTGCTTCTTCAGGATCTCCTCAGCATGGAGAGCGTAGATCAGTGCCCCAGAGAACACAGCTGCACCTGCGGACCGGACAGCAGTGTGAGGCTGGGTGTGCAGGGAGGCTGCACTCCCCGGGTCCTCAGCAGAACCCAGGCACAGGCACCAACTGCTGCAGAGGGGCGTTGGGCACCTTGTTTCACTGCTGGTCCCCAACTGATCATCTGTGAAATAGGCCATGGCAGCTATCCATCCATGGAATTTTTTAGTTTTTTTATGAGCCAAATATGCAAACATGAGTAAGTAACACGGTGTGTGTATGTGTGTGTGTGTGTGTGTGTGTGTGTCTGTGTCTGTGTCTGTGTGTTTCTCTGGGAACCCAGGAAGGATGTTTCCAAAACCACCATGATCAACTCAGCCCTTTGCACTTAAAGCCAAAAAAAAAAAAAAAAAAAAAAAAAAAAGAGCTGTGTGTTCAGATCTCATCGACCTCTTTGTCCTCCAAACCCTTTAAGCCTCAAATTATTTGACCTTAAAAAAAAGTGGAACATGACTTGATGGCCCACGCCTACACTCTGAGTGACTCAGGAGGTAGAGGCAAGAGAATAGATAGCTCAAGGCTAGCCAGGGCGATTTAGTGAGACCCTTTTTCAAATAAAAAATAAGAGGGTGGGGGAAGCACATGCCTTGAATCCATCAGTGTGGAGCTGGGCTCATGCCTCAGAGATAACCTGTCTAGCATGGCAGAAGCCCTGTGTTATATCCCCAATACCGAGCGAAGAGAAAAAGTAAACTCCCTGAACAGGTCGGTGTACAAGAAACAGCAGTTGGCTGATATGATTCAGAATATTCCTTTTGTGGTATCTCTTAGCTGCCTCCATTCTTGGAACCCAAATCATTTACGAAAACCTACTTCTCAGGCACTGGCTCAGTAAGGTCCCAAGACCACCACAGAACCTCTGAGAACTCCCAAGTCCACAGAGGCTGTCCTTGGGGGAAGGCCTAGCATGGTGTACTCCTGTTCCCCTGATCTTGGGGAAGTGCTTACTGGTGCAAAGCTGGCAGAGGCCGGTGGCGTAGAAAAGCCCTCCTCTTCGCATGGTGTAGAGCTGGAACATGAAGAGGATGAAGGACAGGCAGCAGAGGATGAGAGAGAGCACCATGAGCACCTGCACTGCCTTCAGCCAGCCTGTAGGGGGAGACACAGGGGAGGTCACAGCCTGCCCGCCCCGCCCCCTCGGCCCCACTTGCTGATCTCTGCCCACTCCCGGCTCAGCCAGGCAAGCTTCATGGGTGTATGTGTTACCATGCGAACACCTTCCTGATGAGTTCCAGCCTCACCCTCACAGGCTGTCACTTAGAATTTTGGAAGGAGGCAACTCCTTCTCTTTAGAACTCGGGCCCTTCCTTACTCTGCCCGGCTTCAATGAATGGCTCCCACACTCACAACACTAGCTCCACTTCCTTACAGCTTTGGAAAGCCTTATCCTCTCAGATTTTAGGGGGCTTTCTCCCCATTCCTTAAGCCTGTAGCACGTGGCCACCACCCTTCCTGGATCCATCAGAACAGAGGCAGTGGCCTTCCCATTTAGACAGGCTGCCTATGCCAGCCCCAGATGCTCAGAGCCTAGGCTTGGTTCCCAACCCCGGCCCTGGCCTATTTGGGGGCCTTCTGTGCCCTCAGCGAGACACTCACCATTCTCACTGACATTACTGCAGGCCCATGTCTGGGTGGTGGTGTTCCAAGTGCAGTCATACCACAGGTTCAGGGACTCCTTCTCTGGGAGAGTCCACCAGGACTGGGAAGGACAGAGACCAGCGAGGGTGAGGAGAGCGTCAGGGAGAGTGGGCATGGGGGCACCTGGGAGGTGTGGACCGGTGGGCCAAAAGGGTGGGGGGGGCGAGGGGAAAGGACTGGCCCAGAAGTAGAAGTGGGGGGCACAGGCTTAAGAGCTGGGCCGTAGCTGGGGTTCACCGTGAGCTGGAAGCTTACCTTGTCCAAAGTGGCCACAAAAAGCAGGATGAGAATGAGGATGTGAAGGGCAGAGACCACTAACAGGAGGAGGGACATGGCCGCCAGATGCCAGGCTCAGAGCAGGGGACAAAACCTGCAGAGGGCGGCAAGAGGGCAGGGTCTGGCTCCAGGTCTGCGGGAGGAGGGCTTGGGAAGGCCCCTGGGTGTGCGGGAGAAGGGGAGCAGCTGAGCAGTCCTCCCTGGGGATAGAAGGGTGAGCCCAGGGCTCCTGGGCTCTCGAGCGGCCTAGAGGATGTCCTACCTGGACTCTGGGAGACAGATGCACAGGGCTGACAATATATTGGCGCATCTGCAGTGCCTTGTCCCTGGGCTATGTGGGCCACCGTGTTAAAGTTTACACTGATACCCCTTCTAATCCATCAGGAGGAGCAGGAGCCTGCCCCCAGGACAGGCATCCTTGACTCACTCACTCTCTCCTCATGGGGTGAGTCATGGGTGACTCATCCCCCTCCCTCCAGCACCAGAGAAACTCCAGCCTGTGGCTGAGCCTCTCCGGTCCTCACCCCACCCTACTGCAGACCCAAGGCTCTGGACACTTGGGGAAGGGGAGGTCTGAGTGGCGAGACCACCTCCTACCACCCTTCAGTGTCCAGAAAACTCAGCCCTGGGAGCCCTCCTGCACCCCTTAGTCTCAGGAGAGTGGAAAGAGCCCATGGAGAGGCTACAGGACTTTTCCCATGGTGCTCTGTTGGGACCACAAGTACTGTAGATGGTCCTACTGCTCCCCACCACAAAGGCCGAGAGACCACTTCTTCAATTCCCAGTGTCCTCAGGAGCTGAGTGGAGGGTTTCCTCCTGCCGAGGGTGCCCCTCCCACGGTGCCATGCTGCCTAGTAAATAAGGTCCTGTCTGAATAACGGACTGAAAACTTACCGAGAGCCGCTGAAGAAGTCGGAGTTGGAGTCTGTCCTCGTTCGGGCCTCTTGCCCCGCCCTTCTGCTCCCTCCTTCCACTCGGAGGCCCCCGCCTCCCTCGGCCTCCCTCACGCCTCCCTCCACCCCTTACTACTCACCCTTCTCCCTCTCCTTCCCCCTCCCTTTCTCCCCCTCTTCTGGTGGTTTCTGCTTCTCCTAACTCTCAATATATACCAACCCTTTTATATCCACTTTGGCCTCGCCCAGCTGAGCTCTGCAGCCGGGGAGGGCACAAGAACTTGGTTCCTTATTTCTCTGCCCACCCAGTCATACAGTGGGCATGTTCTGGGACCTCCTTTTGGGGCTCAGATGAGAAGTCTGTGGGGCCCTGGGGTGGGGCACCTTACCTCCTTGGACCAGATGCCTTCTCTCTTTGATGGAGTTTGGGGCAGAGTGGATGACACATGAGTCTGCAGAAGGCCAGACTCCTGTGACATAGATCAAACTTTGGGCTGACTCTGAGCTGGGACAAAAACTATGAATCTATGGAAAGGAGCAGGATGTATCCTTTTTCTAGTGCCACCATTTTCTGGTTGTGTGACTTTGGGTAGATTATTTCACTCCTCTGGGCATCAGTTTGCAAATCTGTATAGTGGGTACAATATACAGTCAGTAAAGAAAATAGAGTAATGGAAATAATGACTAGGTGGGTGGGTGGATGGGTGGGGGCTAAGTAAAACAAGATAATCCTGGAAGGCCTCTTGGAGGATGTGATTCTGAGATTCAAGGAATGGAGTCATTTTGACACTAGAGAGAAAAGAAAATTGTCCAGGCCCCGAGAACAAGCTCCTGTTGTGTGGGGAGCAGACAGAAGGGCCAGTGTGGCTGGAGCCCAGGGAGCCCAGGGAGCCCAGGGTGTGGTGAGCAGGGACATCAGAGGATTTCCTTGAACATTCATGGAGGAACCTGGCTTTTACTGTAAGTGTTGTGGGAGGCCATTAGAATTCTCACAGCACCGTGCCCCCCTGGGCTGCAATGCGAACTGCCATTATTTATTCTCAGGACACTGGCTTAGGTGGTGTGGATGATGACTGAGTACATCTGCGTTCCTCGGCAGGGGACCAAGTTCTGGTTCTGATGAAGTAAGGGCTGGGGACCTGGATGATGGCATGTGTGGGCATCTGCCGGGGCCAGGCCTGGGTGTCATGATCTATAAGCCTCGAGGTGAGAGTTGGCTAGGCTGGCGATTGAGAGGCCAGGAACTGGACACCATCCAGTAGACCCTGGAGCCACTCACTGGCTCTGTGATGCTAGACAAGTTACTAATGACCTCTCTACGGTTTTTTCTTCATCTGTAAAGGAGGGGTAGTGTAGTGGGTGGTAAGTCTTTTGGGCACCAACGCAGCAATCCAAACTAGACCAATTAGGAAAAGGCCGGGTTTAAAGGGTAAAGCGTTCTCAGGTGAGAGGAGACAGGAATGAGAGACCGGAAGAACCACGCGTCTGTTCTCTGGGATGCAGCTTTATGTACCCTGTGGGAGTGGTCTTCAGCCTCTCTTGGGGAGGAGCTGTGTTTGGCGGGTTTAGGGAAAGAGATGGGGGAGGAGAGTTTGAGGTGGATCTTCCACCAGAACATTTCAGACTCTTTGGGTATAGGGATGCCAGGGTGCCAGGGGTTGAGGCGGAGCTCCACCCAAACAGTGGGTAGCATAGGTCTAGAGCAGTGCTTGGCAGTTTTGTACGGCTTACAGCAGGCATTGGGGCTCCTAGAGGAGTCCGGGACACTCTGGTTCAGAGGCTCTAGTAATTGGAGAAAGGGCAAATACTTGGGTTCATTGAGTCCCAGAGCTCAAGTTTGGAATCCTAAATGAGGTGGCGGGGGTGGGGTGGTGGTGGTGGTGGTGGGGAGCACAGACTTGGGGAAGTCTAACTCTGATCCTCCACGAAGTAGAGCGGGTCACTGAGGATAAAACTGAGGGCCTGGGGTGCAGTCTTGTGCTCCTTTGGGATTGCAGCGACAGGAGGATGCATCCCAGGGCTGGGAGGAGTGTTGGAGCCAGGAGCAAGGAAGAAGATGCTAACTGGCGGAAGGGGCCGGGGACAGATTGAACACTCTTTCAAAGGGCTGGAATAGTGCGGTACTGGGGTACCTGGAGGAGGCGTTAGGGAATCCCCAGCAACAGTGACCCGTAGAAGTATCTGGAAACCAGGGGTGGTGGCGGGATCTCCCCCGCCCAGGCCCCTGAGGAGCTCTGCAGAGCTGCCACTTCCTCCCACAGGAAACCGCAGGCGTCAGCCACACCCAGCCTTCAGGCAGTGGTCCCGCCGCTCTCGCCCATGAACCACGTGGGGCGAAGCGCTTGGCTAGAGGAAGGGGCGGCTGGAGGCCCCGCCCACTCCCACTTCCGCCTCTGCCCGACGTGCCCGCCAGCCGTTGGTCGCGCATGCGTAGTGAGCCTGTGTAGGAAGTGAGATAGTGGTGAGCGTTCCTCCAAACTATAAATTACCCAAATAACCGGCCCAAGGCACGCATTTCTTGGGCCGGTACTGAAGGGCCCTGCCTAGCCCCAGAGTCTAGTCTTCTAAATGTTTCTCTCCAGGCGCCTTCAGTTTCTGCTCCCCGGACACACGCGGCCCAGAGGCCGAGCCCCACGTATCCCACTTTGACATCCCCAGAGCCGGCCCCTGCGAGACGTCCAAGTCACCCCAACGCCTCGCTGCGCGCCCTTTAAATAATAAGGCCCGCCCCGAAGCCTAAAGCCCCGCCTTCCCACTGAAAGTCCCCGCCCCCTGGAGGCCAGAGCGCCTGCTCCATAGTTCCGCTCTCCCCCGACCCCTCCCGAAGTCCCGCCCCTTACAGCGTCCCAGCCCCTCCTCTTGGCCATTTACGGCCTCCGGGGCCTCTGCGCAGCACTGCAGCTCCGCCCCTTCCCGTAGCCCCGCCCTTTACCCGTGGCTCCTCCCCCTCCTGGCTTCAGCTCCTTCTAGGAGCCGACTCCTAGGGCACTGATTCTCCACCTCCCTAATGCTATGGCCCTGTGCTACCGTTCCTCAGGTTGCGGTGACCCCAACCGTGTATTTTCGTTGCTACTTCATAACAGTAATTTTACTATTATGCATCGTAGTGTAAATACCCGCTATTGTGACGACCCTGTGAAAGGGTCGTCAGCTCATGGGTCTGGATCCAGGTGTTGAGAACCGCTGTTCTCGGGTCTTAGCGCCGCCCCTGCGGGTGCCTCTGGCCTCGCCCCTCAGCGGGCATCCCCTCGGTCCACTGAGACTTCCATCAGTCTGTCCTGCCCTCCCCTGCCGCTGTCCTCAGGCTTCATTGGCCCCTTGTCTCCCCAGTAACCAGACCACAACAGTGAGGTGGAGCAGCTAGGAGAGGTCAGGCACTCAAGCAGGTGGTAGAGCCGAGACGTCGCCCCCGCCCCCAGCGGGCCGGGGCTCGGAGGTGCGGAGAGGCCGCCCCGGGACCGAGTCAGAGTCAAGCCGCGGGACCCAAACCGTGTGTGTTTGGGGTGAGCGATGTCCCGGTGTAGCCCCTGAAGAGTCGAGGCCCAGAGAGGCCGCGGTGCTGTAGATCGCCCTGTGCTCTGACTTGCATGTTCTGGTGTCCCCTGCAGGAACGCCGCCGCCGCTGTGGCCAGGATGCGTTTGGGTCTGTCGGCCAGGAGCATATCCGAAGAAGGAAGCGATGTCTTCCTGGAGGGACCGGGTAATTCATGATTCCACCTCTCCTCCGAAGTTCCTTTTCTGTTCCCAGCTTCTCCAAGTTCCAGAGCCAGGGCTGGGGAGGCCTCTCAGGAGCTTCCTTTCCTGGAAGAGGGCTCCTGACATGTGGAGGGGCCAAGCCAGGCAGTGGGGTGGCCAGAAAGACCTTCAGGAGAGGTTTGAGTGGGGCCCAGGACATCCGGACATAGTCAGGGGAGGACCAGTGAAATGGTTCAGCGAATAAAGGCTCTTGGCATCAAGCCCGACAGCCTGAGGAATCCACATGGTGGGTTCCTCGACTCCCTCTGGCCCCTGCTTTCACCACATACATGTAATTTAAATCAGAAAAAGAACAAGCACCAGCATGGTGGCACACACCTTTCATTCCAGAGCTGGGGAGGCAGTTTGAGATTCAGGTCAACCAGGGCTACATAGTAAAACCCTCTCTGAAAATAAATAAAAAAAAGCACCGGAGAACAGTGTATACAGGTATATATGGCTAGGGTAGGAGCAGACGGGACGGTTTCTCAGTCTTGTCTACACTGGTTTGGGTCAGTTCTCAACTGAGGGGCTGGAAAGGTGGGAAGCTGGTGGGAAAGACTGGAGATGGGTAGGGCAGGCTCCTTGGGGCTTGGATGCCAGGCTGAGGTATCTAAGAAGAAGGAAGGGTCCGTTCTGCGTGTAGGAAGTCCTTGGGGACTTTGTAGGGAGGTGAGCCCAGAGGACAATTGGAGAGAGGGAGGGACACAGAGGAGAGATGCCACCCACTGAGGGCTAAGAGAAAGCCACTTCCTCTAGTCCCAGGTGCCAGAGACCAGAAGGCCTCCCAGGAGCAT